GTGGGCCGGTCGAGAGTCCCGGGCTGATTTGTAGTCCCAGTCCGCCCCTGTTTATGACAATGATACAATTCCTTGGTCAATGGTTATTTAATGGCCCACAGTTTTCCCAGCCAACCATGGAATTTGGGATGAAAGCCTTGTAGTAAAAAAAGAAAGAAAAGAAACCACTCGCGTAACCTTTGGGCTTTTGCTGGCCCAGTTTGTCTCGAATGATAATGCTCCATTTTAAAGTTTCCTCTATTGCGGAAAATATAAAGTCTAGTCTTACAAGACCAATATACCAGCCAACTCACACAACGCTGATTTTATATTACCTACACAGCAGCTCGCAGAGTAGAGGTCTCTGTGTTAGATCTGTTTTGACCCTCAGAAAAAGCTTTTACAGTACCTGTTTCTTTCCTACCAATGAAATATTTCAATGGCAATTTGATTACCTGCTGCTGTGGAGACTGAAAGAGCAATTTGAAGACAGATTGACCTTTCCTCTTTTCTCTTTCGACTGCCTTTCCAATATACCGCATCTTATCTTTTCAGTGTGCACCAAAGTTCCCCGCAAATATCTGTGATACTGAGAGCATTTTTTACCATAAACCCTTCAGTGTCGCCACAACAGGAAGAAAATATGCCTGTGTGTTTTTGTGTGGTTTCTTTGTTATGTCCCTGAATGAATGGGATTTGCAGTGGATACCTTTGACTGTTATGCTTTGAAATGAAGTCTTGCCTGCATTTTCAATAAAGCAAAGAGGATACAGGCTTCAGTGTTGTTTGTTTTGTCTATGTGTGGAAAAATAAAGAGGAGAAAGAAATAAGACAAAGAAGGAGAGGGAGACAGGTGACACTGCCCTGGGGCATCATCATATATTACCTCCATAATGTGATGCTCAAAGCATTTCTCCCTTATTCCAACCATGGTGCTATTATGTTGCGAATAGAAACATGCCTTCTTTATGTATCAATTTGCAACTGAACCCGAAAAAAATGCCTCAGCAGCAAGACGTGACCCAAAAATGTCAAATTACTCCAGCGTGGTGTCCTAAGAAGGGAGGAAATTATGCAAGGAACAAACCTGCTGGCAGAAGTGATCAACCACAAATTATGCTATTCAGATTCACAAAGCAGCGGCTAATTTGAGGGAGTGACACCAATTTCCCACAGGCCGACCTGCATGCCTCTTTCTCTCTGTTTACTATTAAATACCAAATAGATGTGCATAGTGAGCGAGCATGCGAGAGGTGTTAATGAAGGATGGATTTCATTCAGCTACCACCGACCGCAACCTCTCACACCATCCCCTTCTCATAATAGTTATACATTTCTGACACATCTCCTAGCAACCACAGCTATTTGCCATTAACCATGTAGTAGCTGTGTAGACATACAGTAATGGCAAAAATATAGCAAGACTAAGACCTTCATGCTAAACGCAGCATGCTTACATGCTCACACAATGACATGCCATAATGACATAATGTTATTACAATAAGAAAAAATAACTTAACATAAAGAATAATGGCATTCAATGGAAAAGCAGCTGTTTAACACATTTCAATTGGAACATTAAAGAACACCAGTAAAGTCTCTTTCGTACTCAAATGTACCCCCCTCAGTCTGACATATCTGCATTCACAGATAGACCAATTTGGGAAATTATTTAGTTACAGAAGAAGCATCAGTGTGTTCAGTTATAAAAATAACGATACAAGTGGAACAGAGAATTTACAACAAAAAATCAAAAGTTAAAAAATATTATATCAAATATGAAAAGAGTAGAAACAGCTCTATGCTTAATTTGCAGTTTTGTTTCTATGGAGAGGTGCCGCCCGACGAGTTAGAAACACAACCAATCAGGGTCAAAACTGTTGCTGAGCGCTGCATTTAAGGTTCACATTGTTAAACGCTGATCATTGGACTCACAACCAATCAGATGACAGCTGAAGGAAATTGGGCAAGCTAGCTTGGGACTTAACAATATAAATGAAAATTAACTAGCTGTTTTCACAGCAAGGCTTTTCCCCCAACCCCAGTGTAATCAAAAAGAAAAATGTGTATCGTGAATGAAGACAAACGTAAAATGTCAAAACAACATGCTACAGCATTGCTGCTTCCACATTTGGGACATTTCCAAACCGGGGGAGCAATACAAACAATGATCTGCTTAATTGAGAAGCAGTTGGATATGAGAGTGATCCATACAACTTACCAAAGAACCAGTGGTCCATGAACATTGACATGTAGACAGGTATCAAGTTTCATTCTATTAGTATGCCAGTTCTTGATGCCAACGTTTGGGAAAGATATTGATCCATTTTGAAAAGACATTTGAGAGGTACACTTAGTTCCTTTCTTGCCAAGAGCCACATATGAAAATCTATACCACTGTCATATCATAATGCTAGCCTTAAGGAAACAGCTAGCCTGGTTCTTTGTGAATGTAACAAAACCCACCTCTAAAATGTTCTAAATAGCTTTTTTATTTTATTTGTAAAGATGAAAATTGCGTTATTCCAGAGAACTATCAGCCTATCAAAACTGAGCAATGAGCTGAAAATGAATCATAAATCCAGGGTAAATATGAAAGATTATTGCTAAAACGTAAGGGACCTCCAATGTGTTCTCATTTACATGCAGTAAATCCGCCACAGTCTGATGTAAAGTTCTGATAGATGAGACGTTCAAGCTGTTTCTCGTCTATAAACAACGTCTCATCTCTCGTTTGAAACTGGTGTCTCAATCAGTAATCCACATTGCCTCTCAAGGCTCGATTGTTTAGATTGTGTGTTTCACGTATGTTTGACATTTTCTTTCTCTCCCTCTGTCTGTCTTTTTCTCAATGTCTCTCCTATCTCCTGTGACTATAATCCCGAAAGTGTGACAGCACTCCTGGGATCGTTTTACAGCAATTTCCCTTCATGTCTAATGTCAGGCTATTTAGAAGTAGTCAGCTGATGCATATTTCCTGTTTTCACGGTTGAGTGGGGGCAGAAAAGTACTCAGATCTTTTACTTTGGCAAATTCATAATTTTACCTAAAAGCTTTGTCAAAATATAATAACAATTGTCTATTACACATAGGATTATTCTCAAAATGATATGTATAAGGAACCACTAACTAACTAACTAACCAACTAACTAACTAACTGATCCCTCTCCTCCCAAAACAACTATGTTAAACCAGCAAAGTTCATTTTTGACTTTAGAACCAGCAATTATTAAGTAAATTGTACATTTCAGTTTTTTTCCTGAGCCTTTTGCCTTTTCATCGATTTTGAGTTAACGCAGAGTCTGTAATTCTGGGGAAAGATAGTTGATATTTTAACTTATTTTGTGTAATAGCTTACTCATTCTCTGTTTCTAAAACACAAATAACACAATAAGCTACAATGGGGCATCCTCCTCTCTGTTATTGTCTATATCCAAAAGATGTACTTTAAAAACACATGTTTTTATTTAACTAAATAGCCTGCTTTATACAATTGTTTGGCGTTAGGCCTTTGTAAGAAGACCTCAATAGAAGACGGATGAGAAAACCAACATTTGGTACAGCCCGAGTGGACCGGCCGGATCCCCTCTGTATTTGTTTCCCATTTAAAGAGCCACGGCCTTGTATGAGCCATAGATTTGATAGGTAGAAGTGTTGAGCAGACATGAGTTGAATTTAACACAAAGGGTAATAAAATCGAATCACTCCTCCAAGTTCATAGGGTCAATTTTCATCTGGGAAACAGTGAGAAGACAACCTTGTTCGATGATCCTTGTGTTGATGGAATGTCGCACATTAATTAACATGAGCTTTTGAGATGTTAGGCCATTTGTTACGTTCCCTCCTGGACTAGGGGTACAAAGGGAAGTAACAAAAATATAAAATAACCGGGAGAGAGAAAGAAAAGAGGAAACCGATTGCTGAAGCCACAAAGGGATGTTTTAATTAATACAAAAGTAAAGAGGCTCACCAGCCATTTTGCAAAACAAACTTAAGTAACTGAGAACAACTTCCTTCTAAAAGAAAGTGACTAAATGAAACATCTAACAATGAGCACAATACAAGTTAACCTAACAGGTCTTATACAAAGAAACCACACAATGCTGCACATATCACACATGCAGCCAGAGGAGAAGGAGAGAGCGACTGCAGCCTTCCTCAGGTCCTTTATGGAGGCCCTGATTGGGGATTGGGAGCACCTGGAGGAGAGGCTGCACCTGGAGGGAGCCAATCAGGGGGAGGGGGAGAGGGACACGGACACGGACACACACACACACACACACACACACACACACACACACACACACACACACACACACACACACACACACACACACACACACACACACACACACACACACACACACACACACACACGTAACACCCCCCTCCATAAAACCAAACAAGTTGGCCACAGTTACCAAAACACACACAATATACAGTTCACAAGCATACTATTGAATGCTTGGAAGCTGCCACCTGCTGCTTCCAAGCCACACACTCTGCCACTAAATGACCAGGGTCAAGACAAGAGAAACACAATCTCTCAGTGTTGGGACCTGGGAGAGAAACCAAATGAGCACATGTGGCATGTCCGTTAAGAGCTTTCCGGAAAGAAGCACGATGAAAATGATTGCACTGAGCCATAACTGTGTGATAGCACAAGCTCATCCGCCATAGTGGTGAAACATTTTGTCATGACAGGGTCACCTTTCTGGGCAGTGATGAGCGCCTCCCGGGTCAAAGGCAGAGCCACCTCTGGAGCAACCGTGACAGGCTCCATTATATATTATTATATAAACACGGTTTGAGTCTGAGCTAGGTCATCAGCACCAGGGATTGGAACGTCAACAACCTCAGGAGTAGGATACACTTTACCTCCGGCTATATCATTACCCATTATGAAATCCACACCGTCGACAGGCAACTTGGGGAGCACAGCAACTGGACGGAAACCAGTAGCCAGTTTAGACTGGACATGAATATTGTGCGGGCACACAACCCATTCCAATACCTCTTACCACCGCACTTGCATCACAGGCAGACTCAGCACTCAAGGGCAGGGCACTGGCAAGGATGAATGATTGTGAACCACCACTGTTTCGCAACACCGTGACCTGCCACTGGTCCTCCACCTTTTCTGACAGAGAGACAAAGGCAGTAGAGATGAAAAGTTTAAAACACTCATCAGGCCCTTTGTTAACAGTGGCCCGATGTATCAGTGCATCCTGCTTAAGGGTAGTTACTTTTTGCTCATTTAAATAAATACCGTACGCTCGGGTACACCGTTTTTAAACTCCTCCAACATCATTAGTTAACACATTGAGGTAATGTCATCAGCTTTACAAGCTCTACACCACCTGTCAAAGAGGATTTTCTTTTCCCTCGCGAAGTCCACATAAGTCTGGCCAGAAGTTTTCTTCAGGCCGCGAAAACGCTGCCTGTAGGCCTCAGGCACAAGCTCATATGCACTGAGAATAGCACCTTTAACATTCTCATACACCAAACTATCCTCGACAGAAAGAGAAGAGCAAGCCTCTTGAGCCTTGCCGACTAGCTTGCACTGTAAAATAATGGCCCACACATCTTTTGGCCAGCGCAGAGCAGCAGCAATGCGCTCAAATGCACCAACGTAGGTTTCCACTTCTGACTCACGAAAAAACAGGGACCAAAGAAATGTGTCTACACACGTTGAAGGAGGCAGCAGGACCAGACTGTGTAACAGCAGAGTCACCCACCCCAGCTGCCTGGAGCTCTAGCTAACGCTTCCGGACAGCAGTGTCTGCCTCCAACTTCCTGATCTCCAGCTCCCTCCTGAGCTGAAAATCCCTATCACGCTCCTCCTTCTCCCACTGGAGACGAGCCACACGCACTTTTATTCTGGCATCTAATTTAGAGCCTGTAGGAGAGGACTGGGCAGAAAGCGGGTCAAACTGAGGCATGGTGAAAGGTTTTGCCTGTGCACTAGCACTCTGAACACCAGGAGTAACACCAACGTGGCCTACACTAGGAGATACTGCTGCAACAGCCCCGGCCACCGTGCCAGGAGATTCCACTGAATCAGGCAGACTTAACACCCCCTGTTCAACTAGCCCATTTAGCAAAGTAGCCTTGAGATCACTTTTAGCGAGAGCAGTAGAGACAAAAATATTATAGTGGTCAGCAATTAACCGCAAGTCAACCTTCCTACAGCAGGCTAGCTGATACACAGTAGGATTGGCCACAAACTGCTCCAAAACAAAAGCCATACTCAACAACGGCCAATTACAAGATTCTAATGTATTTTCTTTTTTTTAAATGCTGTGACACAACAACCTACCACTAATGCTTCACAAACATGGACGCCAGTCTTCCAAATAACAAACTTCCCAGATCCTGCCTACCACAAACTTACCTACCTATCTTCTGGAGCGTGCCGGGCTTGAGGCGACTTTAAAAAAGGCACACATCAGCGGCCAAAACCCTGAAACGCCTGCCCCCAACAGGGACTAAATCCCCACCCAGGATTACCCCGAAAATAAAAAAGGCAAAATAATAAACGAGTGCCTGAAGGAAGGACTGATTCAGCCCAGCTAGACACTCCCATATCTAAACTGAGGAAGCTGTTAAACAGTAAGAGACTTCACAGCCAATGCTACACTAATATACACTACTACTACCACTAAAGACAATATCAACACAACAAACAATCAAATATTCACTCCTTGTCTCAAAGATCCCGGACGATCCCCCATCTGGTTGATGGCATTAAAATAAAACCCACTTTAAATTGTTTTCTCAGCACAAAGTGTTCAATGACAAACAAGTACCTAAAACATATTGTTATAATATGCAGAATGGTTCATGTCAAATAACTACTTTTGCCTACAATGTTACTGTATTGTTACAATTCAGTCGTGGATTATCCTTCCATGCCATTTTCTCTTCACTGTAGGAGATCGATATGCTACAGTTTGACATATTTTGTTCACAATAACAAGGTAAAGAAGGGATTGTAGTGTCTATATACAGCAAGTGCTGTGGTAGATTCCTGCTGTGTAGCTGTTTGTAGTACATTATTTGGTAAAACAGGATTAAAAGTGTAACTGGAACTGGAGTGACATTGTGTTTTGAGTCCACCAAGTGAAATGGCAAAACAGCAAAAACACAACTGTGTGTGGAAGTAAGGATTTGCGGAACGGACCGGCTTAGCAGGTTACGGCGGGCAAGTTGGAGAAAAGCCGACTTAAGAGGCCTGCTAAATGAGTCCGGGCTCCAGTGCCAACTGTGGTCTCCTGCAATGTTGTGATTTGATTGTGGTGTGCTATTAAGGCTGTCTTTGCTCATAATGCCACTTCTTTATCCACTGTAATAATATTCAAATGAGAGTCCAATGACACACTCCTCCAGGGTAAAAAAATCCACCCAGGCTTCAGATTAGTTCAAGGGCCCCATGAGAAATGGGACAGCTAAATGGAGAGCCGTTAAGTTTTTAATTTCTATACTTTCTCAAAGTGTGGGAAGAGAAGAGCTACTGCAGTAGAGGAGAGTCTTAATTTAGAATTATAATGACATTTTAGCGAGTTGTGAGCAATGCTTTCTGTCTGTATCGCTTAAACAAAGATATCAATTTGGAGAGGAATGATTTGCTATCCTGATTTGTGTGTTGTGTGGTCTCAGCCGAGATAGGTTTCTGAATTAGAAACAGCAAGTAGGCTTAAACAAATGGGCTTTTACTTAAATATATGCACACATACACACACAGTTTTTACTTGAAGTGAGCTCAAGTCTGTAAGGAGTGATGTCACCTTTACTTGAACAGTTTTGCCACCAATGACGGCTTATTACCAATAGGTGGCAATCTGTCCTTGTCACTCAATGTGTTCAAGCTTATCTGCAGAACTTTAATGCATGCCAAATGAGATTTTCTACAGCTATATGCGAGGGAGAGGAGATGAAGAACTGCAGAGGAGAAAGACAGAAAGGGAGAGGAAAGGTTGAGGGGGATGAAGGGACGACGACAGGGTTGCTGACTGGTCAAAAGGTTTGCTTGCTCCACCTGCTATGCCTTCTGTCCATTTCCAAAAAGGACCAAACCCCTTTGGCGTTTTAACACTCATCATAAGGGAGTACACATCCCAGAATGCCTTGTGTCTTTGTGTCTCCCCCCAGTCACATTTTATGTCATAAGTTCATCTATTCTGCATAAAGGTTAGCGGCAAGGACGCAACGGGTGTAAGTCGTTCGGCATGTTCCTCATTAAAAGGCTACCATCAAATGAAGACTCGGGGGGGCAGATATATGGCTGATGATTGCATATTTTACTGAGGTGGCTGCACAGCTGGCTGGCACAACACACCAGGGTCTCAGTCGAAGCCAGTGCAAAACAAACGCCAATCAACCTGGCGCCTCTGGATGCCTCTCTACGGGAAAGCACTCAAACACAGGCCGTTATAAAGTCTTTCCGCCGCATCTTGGCTCTCCTGCCTCCCATGCTACTGCGTTGACCTGAAAACAGACAGAGGGCAAAGCAATATTGTCTACTTGAGAACAGTCGAGAAACTCTGCTATCAAGCAATTATGCAAAAACAGAATCTGTGGTTCCTATTTTTAAAATAGAGAAGGAACAGGCAATTGATGCACAGCTTGAACATCACACGAATAAGAATTGCCATTCCCACATGGGATAATAAGACTATTTCAAGCCAAGGGCTATAAAAATGAGTCCTTATTTGAAGACAACTTAAGGCAAGGGCATTGCAAGTAATGTCCTCTCCCCCCCTTTCTTTTGCAGGAGTGTGTTCCATAATGATTGAACATTCTCTTTTCAAGCATACTTCTGTTGTACTGTTGGAACATGTTTCCAATTAGTTTGCATTGGATTGAAACGTGCATATATGGTTCAACGATGCCAAGCTCTCCACATCCTCTATTGGATAAATAAAGGTTTGAAAACAAAGAAAAGTTTATCAGCAATGAAAAGAAAAAATCTTCTATCTCTTCATATTGGCCTTGGTAGGAAAAACACAGAACACACAAACACTGGACAAAAGAGAGCTCTCAGAGGCCCTGAATAAACTATGCAAGGTCTTAGAATGGTTCTCTCCCTCTTTGCACGGTTGAGGTCTTTTAGTTCAGGTAATGGGTTCTCAAGTGAATAAATATGTATGCTTACCTATAGCTGTAGGTTAACCTTAATATTTCACGAGTTTGGATTGTAAGGAGGGTTGTGGTTGTAGATTGTGCAGGCATCTTGGCATCGTTGAAATAAATGAATCTTGACAGACACACTTTGGTCCTACAAAAACAACTATACGTTTTGGAGATATATGTATGACATGATGGGAAGCTGTTAAAAGATTAGAAACGATGTGAAGCATCAGAATAATCATAATAACATTTTCTCTGAACTGGTTTATTATATCTAAAGATTGATATTAAGGTTACATAATATAAGTTACAGTCAATCATTGGAGTAACAACTTATTTTCATTAACTATCGCAGCTCATCACAGATATTGCAAGAACATGCTACACTGATTAAGCCATCTGTTATCTTAAGCTGAGAACACTTTGTGTATATTTAACTGACTTTCACTCATGTTCTGAACAAAAGTAAATTGGATTAAGATCTGTGGAGATTAGAGCGGTTCCATACTGTATGATACATTTAGCTGATAAGTTTGATCTAGAACATCTGTTAATGAAAAAAGACAATGTCACAGTATCATCTTGCGACAAAGATCAGGAACGATTGACAATCAAGTTCCTGATAATATTATAATCAAGGTGAAGCCTGCAGAAGGCTTAAGGCTGATAGCTACCAATATTTTAAAAATAAAGTGGTGTATTAACTCCTTTCCCTCACACGTCATTGACTAACTGACACACTGACCCTTAGATTGTGAGAACAAAATTACAGTGAAGGTATTTAACATTGATCAATAAACGTAAAAAAGCAGTCATTATGAATAATAACTATGGACAAATGCACATTGAATAAAGAAGAATAAGCCTACTTTCAGCCTAAGCATATTGTTATGGTATTCATGCAGGTGTACAGCTTGGATATTATAACCTGGTCACTGTTTCAACTTTAAAGAGACTTAATGTCCAAAAAGGCTATGTTATAGGGCAGGGGTATTCAACTAAAATTCAACGAGGTCCAGTTAGAGAAAATGTCCCCATGCAAAGGTCCGGAACATCAAAATGTCTAACTTGCTTTATGAATTAGTGTGATATATATTGAAGTAGCCTGTAGCTTTATCAACGTCTGCATGTAATCAACAACCGACTGCCAATCAAATAAAGAAAGTACAATTCAAAAACAACAATATTTATTGTCAATGAACATTGAACTATACAGATATACAGTAAATACTGTGGATATGTGTAATGTTCCTCTCGGGCTGCATTTAAAAATAAAATAGAGAAATAAATAAAATAGCTTTGTTAACCGTTTCACATCATGACTTAACAGTTTCAGCCGATTATTGAACAATATCAGTCTTTACACATCATAACAATTGAACAGTTTTAAAGTTTCTCTTTCTTTCCCTCTTATATTGCAGTCCCTAACTCACTTTGTTTTAATTCAGTGCGAGAATTGAGCTTGAGCTTGTCCTGCCAGGAGTTTAAATCTGGGCTGAAATGGTGTCAGGGCCATTCTCATACACACATGCAGGTGCTCATTGGTTAGCCTCGGTTAGCCTGCCCTGGAACGATATTTAGTTTTAATTTTGATCCTGGTGGACTGATCATATTGGGCTCTGAGACTGCTTATTTTTTGTGACCTCAGTTCTGACTTGAGAGGGAATGTTTGGTCAAACACTTTGTGTTTTGTCTCATATTGGCGTTTTGGCACTTTTAATCAGGGTTGGGAGGGTTACTTTGTAAATGTAATCGGTTACTGAATACTGAATACATGGCTCTGTAAGTAATCCGAATACAGTTACAGTAACTT